CATCGACATGAAAAATCAAAATTAAGATTAATGGAATTGCCATAACATTTGTTAAGAGGGAGTACACCAGAGAACAGCAAGAACAAGAACAACAACAGCAATAATAATTTACGTTTAGACCCCTAGAGTCTGTTTATTGCGTACATCATTTGTCCATTGTTATGTTACCCTTACCTACATCAGCGATGATGGGGGGGGGCAAAACCAAAAAAACCCAGAAAATATAACAACTTTCATTTGCGTGTAACAACAACCAGCAATAACAGCAACAACAACAGCAAAGTCTGCGTATACTTGTGATAACATTCAAATGTGATTATTCTCCTCATATAAAGTAGAACAAGTAGTATGTGCCGACCTAAGTACTTTGGGAGGATGTTTTTTTTTTTGCTGTGTGGGGTGTTTGTGTGATGGTATAGGTGGTGGAAGGTGGTTGGTTGGTGTTTAGGTGATATGTGGGTTTGGGTATATATTGATGAATACCAGTCATATCATCATCATCACTCATTATATATTCTTTTAAATGTACAAGCAGCAAGCAGTGTATATGTAATCTATCTATATGGTGTGGTATGTATTTAGGTATATAAGTGGATATGTGTACCCACCAGAGACGAACGAAGGAACACCTAAATGTGAGCAAGTACGTGTGTGTATGTGTGCACAATAAACGAGTTATTTGTGCGTTCTTAACACACATTAAAACTTCGCTCAAAAAGAAAATTCAACCTTATTAACCGCAGCCGGCCTAGAATAATTTTTCCACATATATGTAGGTACTAGGTTGGATCAAGTGGGCTAAGGGGCAACTCACAGCCAACCAAACCTAAACGAAGCACCTAAATAATTGTGAATGCTATTAAGTGAAAGTAAACATTAATTTTTTCAACAGATTAGGGAATATCTATGGGTATCTTTTTTGATAAGATAATTTAATGATAATATGGACAAGGCAGATAGATGGTAGGTAGGTGGGTATTAAATGGGTTGGTTGTGTTGTCAGTCACTCACGCAATGTAATGTAAATGAGGACATTTATATTTGGATAATTTTAAATAATTCACTTTTCTGTCCACAGTCATATAAGGAATGTGGAAAATGATTGACACCAAAAGTGGGTAGGATTTTTGCTTAGAGACCATGTGAAATTTTTCACATGCATGTGTAAAGTAACTTCCATGCTGTGTGTGTGTGTGTGGTATTCAAAATAAATACAAATGTAACATATTGTAAATTCCCACAAAATATTATATTTAAATAGTAAGGTGACCATACGCCCTCGCTTTTTTAAAAGGACAATCATCTATTTTAGCTGGCTGTCATCTATAAATTGTATGTCCTCTATTTGTCATCTACTTCATTTGTCATATTTAGTCATCTATGTTTTTTTAAACCTTGATTAATATTTAGAATATTTCTTGTAGTGATTGTACTGTTCAAATTTTTACGAAGAGATAAAAAAACTGCAACAAAGTCAAACGCCATAATTTTTACATTTTTTTAATTTTGTTTTTGCAAAATAGTCAGGCTGAATCCCAGTTTGTTGTTTTTATAAAAAACAACTATATAAAATAAACCCCCAACACTACTTTTTTAATTTTACTAAATGAAAGCAAAATTTTTCGGAAATAACATCAAATTTTAGAATAAGTTTAGATTTGTTCGAATTGGTCACCAATTGGCACGAATGTTGGCCTTCAAATGTCCAATGAAACATTCACACGCTGCCCGAATGTTGCTCTGCGGTATTTTGGCCCATTCCCGGCGAATCGCTTTTACACAATGGGCTGAGGTGACAGACGTTGGCCGAGTATTTTTTTGTGCCAACCTGCTTTCCAAAATACTCCAGACAATAATCCATCGGATTGGTGTCCGAAGAACCTCGTTTTGTAACCATTCTTGGGTGGCTCGTGCTGAATGCGATGTTGCTGAGTCCTGTTGGAATGTCTAAGGCCGATTAATACGAACTCTTTGTTTAAAAAACGACAACGAATGTTTTTTCATCGGAGAAAACCTCCATTTTTGGCCAAGCGAAACAACTGGCCATTTTGAGTCTATTTTCTTTCAGTTGCGCTGTAAGTTTTTGCACTTTTTGGAATTTCAATGGCCAAAAAGTTGTTTTTCAATATTTGTCGAATGAAATATTGCGATATTTTCAGCTCTTAAGCCATTTTTCGGCCACTGCGACGCGGGTTTCGATCAAGTCGCTTCTTTACATTTCGAACCATTTCTGCTGTTGTTGCTGTTTTCTACCGTCCACTTCCTTGACGTCGGGCTACGCTATCTATATCATGGTAACGAGCGATGAGCGACGAGACACAACAGATTTATTCACATCTAAATTCTGGAGTGCTTTAATTATAGCCACTTGTGGTTTTCCAGCCAAATATAAAGAAATCACACTATCACGCTTGAATTCCATCACGAATAACTTTTTTCTGGAAAATTCTCACCAAAATGCTTTTGAACAATTGCAAACAATATAATGAGATGTCACAGGGATATTTTTAACAGCTGTCGGACGAGTGACCTAGAGATGACAACAGTCTGTATTTTATAATAGAAAACTTTACGTTTCAGATCCTACAAGCATTTTTATTTAATCGAAATTGTTTTCCATTTTAAAATATTAAATATTGCAATATTGGTCTTTTCCGTACTGCAATAATCTACTGATTTTTACTATATGCTTAGATATCATAAAGGAAACGTTTTTGATTTGTCGTTTTGTCGCTTCTGGAACAGACCAAATATGTTTTTAAACTTTTTCCATATTTTTATACACTAAACCTTATGGCTAATGAGGGTATATACACTTTGATAAGGAAAAATGCGCCTCATCGATCTAAGATGCTCATAGATCTCATTTCAGACAAGTTTGAGTCGATTTATAAATGTCCGTCGGTCTGTCTGTGTGGCCGGATAACTCTCGAAGGATGTAACCAGTTTCATCCAAATTATGCACATCGTAGTATTTGATTCAAACTTAGTTTATGTTCGAAGATGGGAAATATCGGTACACTCCTTCGGGTACCTCCACTACAAAATTATCAAAATTATATCATGCGAACGGGCTATCTGATTTGAACCAAACTTTGTACAACCTATTATCTTTACCAAGCCTAGATCAGGTCCGAAGATGGGATCCATTTATCCACTCCTTCTGATATCTCCATTACAAATGGTCAAAACGTTCAATATTTATAAATCCAATATTGGGCTAATATAGTGTCCGATTTGGACCAAACTTTGCACAACCTATTATCTTAAGCAAGCCTACATCAAGTTTGAAGATGGGACACATTGATTTTCTCCTTCTGGTGGTACCTCCCTCACAAATGGTCAAAAAGTTCAATATTTATAATTCCAATATTACGCTAATAGATGGCCGATTTGAACCAAACTTTGCACAATCTATTATCTTTATCTTCGCTAGACCAAGTCCAGTGTGGAAAAATACTCCTTTTGGCACATCCCCTACAAAATGGTCTTAATCTCTTAATTGATTTTATTCGAACATACACTAGTTCAAGAATGTTTCTATTAATATTTCAAGTGAAAATCTCAACAACTCTGGAAGATATAGACGATTTATTATGCTAGCATCATTATGCTACGAATGGCGGGCACGATAACGAAGTCAATAATCCTAACACCGTTGAAATTTTAATGCCCGCCAAATAAAGAGGGGTTCGCCTTATTTGAAGCGAATTGAATAATCGACTTGATCAACATAAAATCCAAAACCTCTTTCATAAAAACATATATCTTATATAAAGTGAATAATAAAACCTGTATGTAATTTCGAAGACCTCCGCAAATCATAGGCTGAGGGCAAAACCGACTGACACCTTTTTACTTGCTAGAAAAATTTTTCAAAAACTAACTCAACCAGAATAGTGGATTGTTTTCTAATATTTTTAGAACATCTTCACGAGACTTTCGCATCTATAAATGTGGGTTTTAAAAAAAATTTAATCTCCCTCAAAAGCCTACAAAAAAGCACTTTTAGGTATAGCCAAAACCTCAAATTTCCTTTTATGTCCTCAGTCGTAGCAAAACGCACTAATTTTTACTTCAAGGTAGTATTTATCGATCTTGTGTCAAGAATTCATGATTCACCACACAATTGGAATCGAAGGAAACGATGAATAAAACTTTCACATTTGACCGACGTGATTTTTGCTGTTTTGGCCCTTCCGGACGTTTCCGTTAAGATTGGACGCCATGACATTTTTGAGTAGTAGTTGATGACGTTGTTTTTGGTAAAAATTTAGCAAATTTGTAACAAGCTCCATTGCCGCACGTTTCATGCCTAAAAGAACCGAAAAAATTGCTTGGAATGGGCCGAACGATATGCCAATATTTTATTATCATTGAATACTAAAAAACTTAATTTATTTAAAGAAATCATTTTTGTTCAAAAATGTTGATTATTTATTTAATTTTTTTAGAAACTTGAATTTATAAATTTATATAATAAATAAATTAGAACCTTTAGCCCGATTCTGTAAATTAAAAAAAATGTTAACCATTCTTTTCGAAAAACGTTTCGAGAACCACTCTTATAGAGAAGTGTTCTCCTCCTTCATAACAAAATCCATTAGAAAAAATTCCAGAATTTTACAAAATGTTAATCTTTAATTTAAACGATGTTTTTAAAATTCAATAACCTGTCCATCCGTGACTTAATAACACAATGACCCAGTGGCTGTTTGTTTGTATTATTTACCGTATGCAATTAAGTGAGTGGTCATTAAACGTATTTAAAACCATGACTCACTAATATCCCTGAATCGTTAATTTCTTACAACAAACGTGTAGAAAGAAGGAAAAACAAGCACTGACACAAAACGTGCATTGAATATTTAAACTTATCGCTGCTGTTATACATACTCTTAGCCATTATGTAGTTAAAGGAAATAAATTTAATTTTAAACACAATTTTTCAATTGTTCGTAGCTTTTTTTAATATGATGCCTTCTTTTTCTTTATTACAGACTATGACCCTAAAGTGGTGGAACAAAAGGAACAGGCTCAGCCTGCTTGTCTACCGTTAAGTTATGTTCTACGTTTTATATCGGATGATGCCCGCAAAGAAAGTCCCTTCCTAACGACAAATAATGCTGGCGCTGATCTCAAACGTAAACTGGCGATTAAACATCACAGTTATAGTATGTCGTCGTCTAATCGCAGTAACACGCCCACTGGTGAGCTACAAAATGTCACATGAAATACCAATACTAAAAAATAGATTTTATATAAATTGATTTTATTGGATAAATAATGTTTATATGTTTTGTGTTTCCATCCAATTTTAGGCAGCGAAATGGATGAAGATGAAATGGTTGTTTCCGAATCGGAGGATAGCAATGATTCATGGACAACCGAAGAATTTAGTTCTGAATTCATAATGCGCTATGGCAGCAGGTGGGATTGGCTTTCAGGCCATCATCTTTACTTACTTCTTTATTTTTTTTATACATATATATGTGTGTGTGTGTTTCTATTTAAATCAATCTCTATATTTGTAATTGCTTTCATATATCGTTCAAATCGTTGTCATGTTTTTGCTGCTATTTGACCATCATCCATATTTTCCACCACCCACCTCTAATTCAAACCGCAAATAAAAAGGCATTCCGGATCTGGCGGCAATGGCACACCAGGCAATGAAAAACCATTTGCATGCCCTGTTCCGGGATGTAAGAAGCGTTACAAAAATGTCAATGGAATTAAATATCATTCAAAGAATGGTCATAAAAAGGATGGCAAGTAAGTTGACATGGTTTCTGTTCTGTGAAAAAGGAAATAGTCTTAACTTTTCTTTTTTTTGTTGTTGTAGAGTACGCAAAGGCTACAAATGCCATTGTGGCAAAAGTTATAAAACTGCCCAGGGTTTAAAAAGTCATGCATTGGTGGCCCACAATTCTTCGCCCGAAAATGTATTGATTACCCAAACCGGACTGGGCAATGTGTTATCAGCCAGCGGTGGCAACGGCATGGCTGGTGGTGGTGGCACTGGTGTACTTATGCAACGCAGTAGCTCACCATCACAGTCATTGGGTTCATTGAGTCCATCAAGTATTAGTAATATGTCCAGCGGAGCTAGCAGTTGCCATGGCAGTGGTGGAGGCGGCGGCGGTGGCAGTGGTGCTGGCAATGGTAACGGCGGTAGCCAAAATCTATTACAACACTTCTCGAATAGCAACCACGGCAATGTAAATGCAGGGCAAACGGTTAATTGCTTGGCTCAAGCAATTAACGGAAATGGCACGGCAACATTAAATTTGCAGCAGCAGCAACAACAATTTAACACAACTGCCAATAATCATCAACAAGTTGTAGCTGCTACTGTAGGTGGCAACGGCGGTGGCGTTGGAACAGCACTACTCAACAACAATAGCAACAACAATAACACTATAGGAGCCGCGAATTCCTCAACAACAACAACTGTGGCGACAAATAATTCATCAGCAACAGGTAACAGCAATAATATTATTCGTAACACCATCAATTTGGTGTCTTTAAAAGCCGCCAATGGCTCACATCATCACAACAGCAACAACAACAATAATAATAATGGTAATAGTATAACGGTAACTAAGACAGCTGCGGCCACTAACTTATTGGCCGCTAATGCAGCTGCTAGTAAAATATTGAAATTAGCAACAAATGTGGCTGCTGCAGCTGCGGCCAATAATAGTAGCAACAACAACAATATTCTTTTGGAACAACATCAATATATAAGCAAACAGCAACAACAACAGCAAACTATGGGGTCAGTTACTACAACCACCCCCACCAAAATTACTCTACCAAATTTGGTAAACTTAGGCATACTGACACCGGCAACATCGCCCACAAAAACCAATCAGTCGACGTTGACATTTACCACACAACAACAGCAGCAACAGCAAACGCTTACCAATGCGCTTAATAGTTTAACGAATGCCACACATATTTTGCAACAACAACAGCAACAGAAAACAATGCAAAATCATGGGAATTCGAATATAACAACAACTACTACCATTACTAACCCCCAAACTAACAACCCTACTGTCGGGACAAACAAAAACAATATTTTAATTATAGAACAACAACAGCAACAACAACCACAGTTACAGTCCTCATCATCTTCAGCTTCATCTTGTGCCACGTCAGCAAGCATAACGTCGTCGGTATCATCTCATTCCCAAGCAACGATGGTGGCATCGGTGACAACCTTGTCATCATCGTCGTCAAATTCTTCTTCTTCATCATCGCAACATCAGCAACAACAACAACATCTTCCATTAACTCCCATTAGCCCAAATAATGTAAGTTTAACACACCAAAAACCAACAACAACAGCTGTGGCAAATGTTTTAAATGTGGCCTCATTGCAACAGCAACAACACAATAAAAATATTAAACAGCAACAACAACAGCAACAAATTGTTGGTAGTATTCACTTATCTCAAATAACATCATCTAGTAATGTTGGTAATCTTAATAAACAGCAGCAACAGCAGCAGCAACAACATCAACACCAACAAAATGCCATTACCCAACATATAACGGCTGCCTCGCCGCCACCCTCTATGGCCAATTCGCCCAACAGTAATTCTTCTCAAAGTGTTGCCAGCAGTGGTGGTGGCGGCGCTAATGGCTCCAATCAAAATCTCCTTTCTAATGATGTGGTTGCTTTAACTGTTGCCGTTGCTGATGCCGGTGTTGGTTCTTTAAGCGAGGAAACGTAGCCTATACTAAAGAAACTTTTAATGCGACGAAAATTTAAATAGATCTTCATATATATTCACATAATAGACTAATAATAAACAAAAAAACAAAGATTGTGAAACGAACAACAGTATCTCCCACTATCTATCGCTATCTCTTTTTTTAACATTGAAAATAATCTTCTTATTAATTTTCTTAATTATTATAACTTAATATTTGTTTATTTATTAATTAGTTTCCATTTAAATTGTCGTTTGTAAATTTGTTGTTTTCAGTTTTTGTGTAAAATAATATTTAGTATGTTTTTTTTTCGTTTTTGTTATATGTTGAACTGATATTCATTTTTTAAATATTATATATTTTAACTGCTACTGTAAAATTGTTATTTATTATCAGTATTATTTCGAAATATGCCATTTAACATATCGTGACTCACAAATCTCTATCTTTATAATGATCCTAGCTAATTGGCATACATATATTTATACCTTGATACGGTGAAAATATGCCTAATCGAAATATTGGTTTTAGACCCCATGTTTCTTTGGACCAAATCCGTTTCAGAAAATTTGGAGTCGATTTATACATGTCCGTCTGTCTGTCTGGCTGGTGAGAACGATAACTCTCGAAGGCAGCAACCGATTTCGTTCAAACTTTGCACATCTTAATATTTCTTCCAAACTTAGTTCGATGATGGGGAGTATCGTTCCACTCATTCTGGTAACTCCCCCACAAAATGGTCAAAATTGTGCTAAAAATTAATTTTATAATAAGGTGCAAACGGACTATCCGATTTTAACGAAAGTTTGTACAACCTATTATCTTTACTAAGCCTAGATCAAGTTTGAAGATGGGACCCACTGGTCCACTCTTTCTGATACCTCCCCACAAAGGCTCAAAATTTCCAATATTTATAATACCAATATCAAGCTAATGGAATGTCCGTTTTGAACCAAACTTTGCACAACCTATTACCTTTACCAAGCCTAGATCAAGTTTGAAGATGGGACCCATTGGTCCACTCTTTCCGGTACCTCCCCCACAAAATGGTCAAAATTGTGCTAAAAATTAATTTTATAATAACATGCAAACGGACTATCCGATTTTAACGAAACTTTGTACAACCTATTATCTTTACCAAGCCTAGATCAATTAGGAAGATAGGACCCATTGGTCCACTCCTTCTAGTACCTCTCCCAAAAATGGGACCCATTGGTTCACTTCTTCTGGTACCTCCCCCACAAATGGTCAAAATGCAATATTTATAAATGCAATATCAGGCGAATTGGAATGTCAGATTTGAACGTTGCACAACCTATTATCTTTACCAACGCTATATAAATTCCGAAGATGGGACCCATTGGTCCACTCCTTTGGTACCTTCCCCACAAATGGTCAATATTTTATAAAATTTTATCAACATTAAATCCGAAACCTCTTTGATAAAAACATATTTCTTATATAAAGCTAATAATGAAATCTGTGTGTCATTCCGGAAACTTCCGCAAACCATAGGCTAGGAGTATATATCTGTCGGCAACACCGACTGACACTTTTCTACTTGTTTTCTTATGGTCTGTTCCCGTACTGCAAGAATCTACTCGATTTTACTATTTTCTTCGATATCATAAAGGAAAAATGTGTTATCGGAGTAAAAAATAGTAGATTCTTGCAGTACGGGAACATACCATTAGACTTTTGTTGTCAATTTTGAGGTCTGTGGGGAGTTCCCCTTATTTTTGCCGATTGGAATTCGTTCAATTTTATAAATAAACATTTAGATATTATTTTATTTCCATAAATTGAGAAATCCTATTTTTAAAAATAGACAATTTGTATTCACAGTGACAAATTGGAGGTCCACAATAAATGAATATGTTGTTTTCTTCGCAAAATGTATTTGTATTAACAGACAGTCCTTTTCTCATCAACATTCTCTCAATCGATAAATTATTATTCCTAGAGTCAGACGACAATATATTCCCTAACGGGTAACGATCTCATTGTTTCAGATCATATCATCTACAGTCTTTAAATAAACACACTTTACATTTTTTTCAAATGAGTTCATCAGACTCTCTGATAGAATCTCTCTCTCTCCAGTTGATCTAAAGACTTTCTTTTTTTATGTGAACCTCTCACTCTAGATTCATTGAAATATATTTCGTTGCAGTCAAAAATATATAAACTAATCAATTCGATATCTAGTTCAAATAATAACAAAAAAATTATTATTATGATTATAATTTATAAATATTCCATTATGTTCCTTATTTTTTATTTACCATTTTTTTAAACGAATTTTAAATGATAACAACACAACCCCCTTTTACTACAATATATAACATTATTAATAAAACAAAGAGTTATGCATTTAAAAAAACTTTAGTATACGATTGTAACAAGCTTAATCTCCGTATCTATAATATTAACAGCAACAAGAAGAAAAGAAAACCCCCCACACAAATAATCAATACGACGCTACATAACCTAATAGGAATTTATAATATATATATATATATATACAAATCTATATTTATTTCTTTTTTGGAGCAAATATTAGACTGTTAGCTTAGTGTATATTTAGTTAACTAATTTTAGTATGTGCAATATATTTATTTTTATTCTCAATATTGTGTTTTTCTCTTTTTTATTAAACAAATCAAACAATTTCCATTGCATTTTACAACCGTATTAAAAAAAAAACAAAAGGAAAAAAATCAAACTCCTATAACATAAACAAACCGAACCTATTGATCTCCTTTATTTATAAAATAAAATAATTCATCAAAAGCTAATTTGAATTTTAGAGTAATATTTCTCATTTAGAACAAAAAAACAAATAAATCAAACACTTAAAAGTATTATTTCTTTTTTAAAAAGTAGTAAAATATTCTATAATTAGTTTATTCATAAATAATAAGATATAAGAAAAGTTTTTTTTTTTTCTATAATTTATTACATAGAGTGTAGTGCAATAATTTGAATACATTTTTATAACAATATGATTCGAAAAGTAATTAACTTGCATTATTCTCCACAATATTTATATTTCTATGCTATATATAATTTTGTTAAAAATAATAGTCTTCATTCATTTTGACGTAGAAAAACATTGTATCTCTTTTACAAAATCTAATAGTATAGGCTGCAATATACACTGTCCTATCCATCATCATTACATCACAGCTGTAATTACAAAACAATTTTAATTATATCATCAAAACAACAATTCACAATTATAACTATAATTGTACCAGAACTTTAATTGTACCAGAACATATGTCTAATGCGTGAAAAAAGTGACAGAACCACGTTGGTTTTGTCTCGGTAGCTGCGGCTTTTCTGTGACTATCGGCGGCAGGTGTTATCCGAAGATTGGGTTCACCTCAACTGCATCAGTGTGGTCATAATTCAATCCTGTTTGCAGAGGTACAAAAGATAGTCTCTAGAACAACAGGCCTCTCTCTAGATCGTGAAGATTGCTCCTGATATGCCTGGGGGCGGTGGAGTATTATCAAAAAAAAAGATATAGAATCAATAATATATTGTTGAATTAGAAGGATCTATCTTTCTAGACACTTCTTCTTCAAATATATTGTGTAAGGTTTGTTTGAAAAAGGGATGCCCAACGACTCTCTGCCTCTACTCTACTCCCTCTTCAAGAGAAAATCAATCTTTGGAAAAAAACACATAAAAGGATCTCCCAGGACTTTAAATCGATGAGTGATATGTGATTTCACGACATTGACCGAATACTCTCTTGTTGAATTAGAAATAAAAATACATCGACTTTTAAGAATAGAGCACAATAAATCAAGTCTCACCCGCTCTTCGAAATTCCCGCTACTTCAAAGGCACCATTTTAATTTTTACCAGATATTTCCATTCTATAGGGACAATATATACTAATTTGAGAATGTATAAACAGTCTATGATATATAATATCGTATGTAGTATATACTAATCTTAATAATAGCTGCACTAAATAAAAAATTGTCCCCAAAGCTGATTTTTTTCACTTTCGAACTTGATTCAGAATAAGTGAAAAGTGAAAATGCTGGTTCAGAATAACTCTAAACGGAAAAGCGAATAAAATTCATGGTGAATTGATGTCCAGAATAAGGCTGTATATTTTTTTCTTGAATAATGCTACTGATTCACAATAGAATACGTCTCAATATTCTTAACAAAAAATTCGGAATTTTATTTCAAAAAGTTTATTGAAAGATATGATAGATAACATCATCTGCAATCTGACTTTATTTTTAATTACTTTTATATATATACTAATACAAAACAAAAATCTGCCATTTAGTCAATAAAAAAAAAATCTCACTACACATCACAAACATTATTTCACTCTCTCTATATACCTTTATTCTTCTTCTTGTACAATTAAAAAAAAACAATTGTTTCTATATTTACTTTTTTATTTATTCATTTTTTTATGATTTTTAGTTGAATTTTATGGTTTATTTTCTTCTTTTTTCTGTTTCATTATTGCAGAGTCCTTCTCCACCACCTTTTCTTTTAGTGGACAATTGTTAGCCACCGCCATGCAGCAGCAGCAACAGCAGCGTGGAGTGACAACAGCAATTGCTGCTGGTGGTGTTGGCAAAGCCGGCAATGGTGTTAACGGCAGCGGCATAAATAGTGGTGGAGGTGGTTGTGTCGTTGGTGTCAACAATAATACAAATTGTTTTTATGCAGCAACAGCACCACAAATGCAATCAGCAAACCTACTACCATACGGTAGTGCGGCTTCTAGCGGTCCATTATTAACTAATTCGCCGCAAACAACCGCCATATCACCAACATTTATTGAACACAAGTATTCGGCAAATACATTCAAAGAGAAATTCTTGGCCAATCTGAGGCAAAATCAACAAAATGTTCACAATAAATTGAAATCTTTGAATTCGTCTCCCAATACAATGCAAATTATGGAGACCACGAGAATAACACCAACAGACAGTGGCAGTATTAATAATGAAACATCAAATGTTATAATAAAAACCTCTATAGAGACTGAAATAATCAACAATGATGATGTTGGTA